CGACTCCGAGGGCGCATGCCCGGACTGAGCGCCGCCGCGACACGCCGCCCCTGGACTCTCCCGAGTGCCTCCCTAGACTTCCTGGCCCCCGTGTTCCTGAAGGAAGCCCGACGCCGGTCACTACCTCCGCCTGGACCCCCACCGGGCGCCGCCTCTCCAATCCCCGGGTGCTGCGCCCGCCTCCCTGCGTCCTGTCTCTCGGGGGACCCTGAACTGAGCCCCCCCTGCATCGCCTAACCCCAGCTTTGACGCTGGTCCCGGGAGAGCAGCCACTCGGCCACCATGGCCGATTTGGACGTTCCCAAGGACCCCACCAGCCAGGTCCGTAGCCCAGCGGTGCTGGGACACGGGAGAGAAGTCGCCAGGGAATGAGCGCCCCCAGAGGCTCGCGCGGCCCCTGGCTCGGCGGCTGGGGTGGGTGTGTACTGGGGTGAGTGGTCGCTCAGTTGGCTGCTGCCCTCTTTCCCTTCCCTCCAGGACCCTTCTCACTGCTCCTCCGGCTGCGCTCCACGGAGAGTGGCTGAGGCTCCCGCAAGTCCCGCGCCCGAGCCCTGCGTTGCGTGTGCCCCCTCCCGCCTGGGGCTGGGGCTCCCAGGGCGTCCTGCTAGGGCTGCTGGCCGCTGGCCCCCGTCGAAGAGGCTGGCCAGAGGGACGTGTCGTTTCTGCAGCCTGCTCTCTGGGGTGCCTCGAGTCTCCGAACGCGGGTCTCACTGTCCGCTGCCTCTTCTTCTCCCTGCCCCGGCGGCACCAGGTGCCAGGGACTGCGGAGCCCCGCTTACACCTCCCGGGGGTGACCCCAACTCGCTGCTCCTCGAGCCCTTCTCCTCTCGAGACTCCAAGCCCGCGGCGGCGGCTGCGCCGGCTGCCTTCCTCTCCCGCCTGCCCGGCCCTCCTCGGGCCCCGGGCGAACTTGGGCAGCGGCCGCGCGACGCCGGCGCGGCTGGGCTTCCAGCACCTGCTCCTCCGCGCACTGGCCCCGCGGCTCCGGGCGGGCGGGGCGGCGGTGGCGAGCGCCGTGCGCTCCAGGAGACGCGGTGCTGACGCGCCCGGCTCCTCCTCGCTGCATTTTAATTCCTGGCCACTGTGGCCGCTGCACACCGAGCGGGAAGCCGCTTGCCGGAGTCGCCGGGTGGGGGACGCACTGGACAGATGTGCTGGGGTGTGCGGGCTGGTGGGAGAGGCATGGAGTGGATACAGGCTGTTTACGGGGGGCCGTGTGCAGATAAGTGTGAGAGCCCTTCTGACTGTGTGAGGTGGGCTGTGAGAGTGTGCCACTGGCTATGTGGGCATTGGCACAAGTATTTGAGTGGGTGTCGTGCCCTGAGTGTGGGTGGGATGTGCATGTGTCTGTGGGAATAGGCATTTCCGTGTATCCCATACATGTGAGCTTGTTTGCACATGCTATACTATGGCCATTTGAGTAGGTGTGGTGTGTGTAGGATAGAATGATGGTGTGTATGTTCTATATGTGTGCGCATGTGTGCACATAGTGGGTGGTAAGTACCAATGGATGTGTTGATGTGAGGTGCATAGTAGGTCTACCCCTACTTTCCAAATACTTGGCTCACTGAGGCCTCATGGGGACAGGTAACACTTCCAGCCCCATGACTCCATGGGATAAAGTTTTCCAGACATTTCCAGGAGAGATCTTGATGGGGGTGGGGGTGGTTGGCAGGTGGGAGTAGGGTGGGAGGGCACTCGGACAGATCTGTTAAATGAGCAGCTGGTGTCTGAGAGGCACTGGGCGGGCTTTCCCTCCCTACCTACTGGAGGGCATCCTGTCAGCATCTCAATTCCCTGCCTCTGGTCTCCAGAGAAGAGGACATCTGAGCTCTACACATCCCCACTCACCCACACATATACATATGTAAACACAACACACATGCATATAACACACACACATATGCACAACCCCTGGAGCCCCTTCTCATTCACCTGGGGCACTAGCTATGGAAGTTGGGCTTTGCTGAAATTCTGCTTTGGATTCGGTTCTTTGAAGATGTCTGTTGCGGGCTTTGGGGGACAGAGGGCTCTGAATCTGCCAGTTTTATGGGACCCCTAACAATGGCTCACACACCAGTGCTCTCAGCCAGGTCCCAACAGTCCTGGGAGGTGCCACACCGACACGTATCCCAGCCAAGGTGGGACAAGCTTGTGAGCTCCATGCAGTTCCTGATGAAACAGCAGGGCTCCGGGTGGCACCATGCTCTGTCTTCCAGAACCCTTTAGGGCATTTTATGTTTCTGATTTGTTCAGCGAGCGTAGGCTTTTTCTTTCTTGGAAATTTCCTCATGGAAACGTACACATGCTGCTTGGTCTCCTGGGTGTCTTCTCTGCCATGGGTGTTCCTGTTAATTCTCGGGTGGTCGCTTCCCCAGAGGCGAAGGGGTGCCCTGCACGGGCTCCATGAGTCTTGGCCCGGAAATCCAGAGGCAGACTCAGAGACAAATGGTGACCCCAAGCTATGACCAGTGGCTCTCTTTATGGCAAAGGTATACAGTGTGTTCCCTGCCCAGCCCAAAATGCCCCCACCTCCTCCCTGACCAATACTTTGACCAACTTAGTGAAGTTCAACTCTTTCTTTAAATATTGCCTACTAGGTAACTTCCCTCATAGCCCTTGTAGCACCTTATCATTGCTTGTGTCCAGGCCTTTCTTCCGGATGTGAGTCCTTTGAGGACAGGGACTACCTCTCATTCACATTTATGTTCCTACCTCTTAGCACAGCACCCTGGCACAGTGACAAAGAGGGGGAAGGAACTAAGATTGCTTGAATATTTCTATATGCCAGGCACTGAACTGTACACATAAACATATTGTATTTAATTTCTCACTCCAACCCTACAGGGGGGATTTTTGTTTGTTTGTTTTACAGTTGTTAAACCAAGGGGCTTGGAGAGCAGGAATTGAACTCAGCTCCAACTCATTCCAAAGTCCAAGATTTTCCCTCTCCATCATGTTTTTCTCTAAATTATTGATAGCCCTGGTCCGGTGGTTCAGTTGGTTGGAGCATCATCCCCATACACCAAAAGCTTGCAGGTTTGATTCCTGGTCAGGGCACATACTTGGGTTTCAGGTTCGCTCCTGGTCAGGGCACGGACAGGAGTCAACTGATCGATGTTTCTCCCCCCCCCTTCTTCTCTCTTTGAAACCAGTAAAAACATATTCTGGGGTGAGGATTAAAAAAGTATTATGATAAATAACAATAATAATAACAACAATAATATAATAAGAAATGTAGCATTTCCTAAGCACTAGGTCCTGTTCTAAGTGACTTACACTAAATGTGTCATCACCGTTGTAAATGTTCAATCCTCAAAACAATCCTATGGGTAGATAATTATTTTCTCTACTTCGGAGAGGAGGAATCCCTACCAGAGAGAGGGTGAGCCACTCTCCCTAAGCCCCACAGCCCCTAAGCAGGAATGCAGCCTTGGACCCCAGGCAGCCTGGCTCCATCCCCTGTGCTTTCAACCCCTACCCCACACTATCTCTGCTCTTGCAGCCACGCTGACAGGACAGCTCATGTGAATTAGCCTTCCCAGCCTGGCAGACTCACTTGGCCGGAAAGACAAATTCACAGGGCAGTGCGTGAGCTGACCCACATAACCTGTCCACCAAGAAATTAGAATTTAGCGTCGTGATTTGGCAATAATAAGCTTTTTAAGAACATTTCCCTTTTCTTGTTTATCTCCAAAACATCTGTTGCTCCACACCTGGCATCCTGGCATTCTGTGCGGTGCTCGTGTGCAGTGGCGGAAGGGCCAGTGGCCAGCCAGTACACATTCTGCCGTGTGACCACCACCATTAATAATAAGCTCTTTCTCCCATGAAATGAGTTTCTTGGGAGGAAGAGGTCCATTGAAGTCAATGCGCTTTTTAAAAAAAATAATGTTTTTATAATCTCATTTTAGGAGCTGACACTTTTGTTGGCTGGATCAGGCTTCACTGGAGCCGCCCATGTTCCTATTGCCCCCAAGCCCTACTATTCGGGGGTCTGGCACTGGAAAGTGTCCGAGGTACCACCTGACCCTGCTCCTGGCCTGCTGCAGGCAAACCCCTCTACACATCCTCTCAGGGTCAGTCCACCAGCCTATTCTGGAACACCTGGCAGTGCTTAAAGCTTCATCCTGTCATCAAATTGGAATCGGTCTCCTTGTGACTTTCTCTAATTGACCCATCAGGAGCTACACCAAAGAGCTTGATCTTTCTTTCGCATGAGAACCCTTCGAAATGCTTTATGGGATCAGAGCACCTCACTGCTAAAGGGGCTCCCGTGGTCTACCTAATGAGGTGGTCTTCTGTTCTCTGGGCTAAACGTTCAACTGTTTCTCCTATATGTGCTGCTCTTGGGATGGGATCTCTGATGTCAACATCCTTAAAAAGGGACCCTCCAGCCCTGTGGAGGAGAAGCCCACCAAGCCTGTTACGCTGGGCCTGGTCCTTGCAGCCCCCGATCTTACTGCTGATGGTCACGGGTTCTTATTAGTCCTCTTACCCCTGGGGTTTAATGGAGGGGGTGGGTGAGGAGAGGGGGCATTAATGATGGGTTCTTGGTGTCCCTGCTTAGAATGCATAGTGCACTTTTTTTTAATCCTCACCTGAGGACATTTTTCCCATTGATTCTAGAGAGAGTGGAAGGAGGGGGGGGGGGAAGAGAGAGAAACAATGATATAAGAGAGCAACATTGATTGGCTGCCTCCCACACGCACCCCAACCAGGGTGGGGATGAACCATCAACCGAGGTACATGCTCTTGACTGGGA